CAATAATTGTACGCATTGCTTTTTATATATATTTATATATATACACATATATATAAAACTGGGTTTTGGTTATGATTTACTAGTGTGAAACATACTATGTTTTAATGAAAATCAAGTTTGATATGTTCATTTCAAGTAGTATGGGGACCCAGGGGGTTGTATGTGTTGGGGGGGTTAGTGGGGTTGGTTTTTTGGGGTTTTTTTGCATCTAATAGCACTGGTTACTTTGAACAAATAAAGCTTTCTCTAGTTGCTTTTTTTTATCAGAAAAGAACATTGATGCCATGGTATATTTTCTCTACATTAGAGAACAGCTTTACTAATTATTGGAAGGAAATTATCATAATCATTTATTCTGAATTTATGTTTAATTCTCATATGCCTAAGGGCCATTCTGGATTTTTTGTTCATTTTGTTTTTTATTTTGTGTGTGTGTATGTGTGTATATATGTGTGTAAAATACATACATAAATGGTTTTCATTCTTTTATAAACATTCACCAAACATTACAACCTTTTATAACCGTGAATAAACCCTGTTTCCACCATTGTTTGGAACAGCCTAACTTTTCCCTAAAAACTTTAACCTTCCAAATAGCTTGTTTTATGATTGGATAATATAAAAGCAGCTATATCTAAAATTGATCATCTTGTTCTGCAGTCATGTAAACCTGCATTTATTTGAAAATTCTCTGAAAGGAAAATTTTATCTCTACCCACACAAGCTAATTAAATCCCTGTTGTTTTAATTAACCAAGATTTCATATACCAACACTTAATATTTTCTTTTATGGACCATTCCTTTACAAAAAGTTGAAATCTTGGAACTTCTAAAACTTTATTCCTGGAAACCTACCATTTTGCTACTGGTTATATAGGGCCTTCTAGAATAAATGGGTGAAAAAAACTTGTTAACCCAAGTCTTACCTGTGGTTGGTCTTTGCCCTGACTCGTTCCTTACCTATACGCTCAATCTTTTCAGTATTTGGTTCAGCAGAAGCCAGGAAAAAAAGGATAACTTTATAGTAATCAGAATGTTAACCAACTGTACATTGTTTACTTTATTGTAAATACTGGTGAACGGTGATCAATAAATAGTTTTATATTCCTTTTAAAAAAATAATTTGTAGAGTTTCCTTATCAGTGGAAGCCAGATTAAAGGTCAATATGACATCTTATTATCTAGTTCTTACTCTAGAGAAACTGGCAGGCTACTGAAAGTATCCTGCCCACACGGCAGAGTCTGGCAAACTCCCTGTGGTGTATTCAGTACGCCAAAAACCAGTAACAATGATGGGTCTCGTTCTCCTGACCCTGAAAGAGCCTCGAATGTGGCACTTTCTAAAATCTCAGGGCTAGGATGAAGGAGACATTACTGATGCCTGCTCGAGGAAATCAGTAAACAACAGGATGACAGTGATATAGTGATGCACAAAATTTATTAGCATTTTAATAAAGCAAGCAAGAGGGAAATTAAATCATGACAAGGACAGGGGTTGCTAGATATGCATTCTAGAACTTCAACAAGAACATTTAAGGTGAACTTCTGGCACAGAGGTCATCTATTACATTTTAGAAGAGAAATGAGAGGGACTGACGAATGCTACAATTTTTTCCTTTAACAGTTTTTTTACCTTCTAAATTTCACACTTTAAGTTCTTAAATAATGTTAAGTTAGAATTCGCCACACAGGAAAATATGTTTTTCTGGCTGACTTTAAATCAGCCTGATATGAATTTCTATGTATAGATAGTCTTCTCTGATTCTCCCTATTCCCGTTTTCAAATGGTCCACTTTGGTTTCTACTTGAAGGTAACATTGGAAACTACATGACAGAAACAGGCTGCAAAGGTGGACAAGAAGAATGATGCACCCTTGCCACAAATAGATCCCACACTTTCTGAGGCATTGCTTTCATTATCAAGCCGTTTGATTTCATCATAGATGTCATCCATTTCTGTATCCTCCGCTTTGCGTTTAGAGATACTTGCAACCACCACTGGCAGCGGGGCAGAGGCTGCTATTCCTCTAACTGGCACTTCTGGTTTGCTCCTGTCCTTGGACAAATCTGAGCCTGGGACGAAGGAGGGCTCTGATCTGAACACTCCTTTGTCACAGGTCACCAGGGTGTACTTGAGGGGACGGTAGACATAATTGGAATTTAGAGACAGGAAAGACTGCAGAGTCGAAAGATGAAGTGCCAAAGGCTCCTGGCAATGAATCAACTGGGAGCTACCTGTGCAGTCCAACTGTAAGAGGAAGCCAAGGAGAAGGTGCAAGTTTCTCCATTTCCAAACTAACCATAGCCAAAGCAAACGTGGAACCCTTGAATTGAACACAATTGAATTGAACCCTGCAAATAATTGCAAGTAGTTGAAGGCCGTGCAGTGTAGTAGTTGCTTGGTAAGGATTATCAAATGCTAATATGAGCTCAGTTTGGGCAAATTTAAAAGTAACTGAGGCCTAGTTAATACTGCAATGGCATGGAAAATGTGAAGAAAATCCAGCGGTGTGGTTGTGTGAAGATCCCAGTCCAACTTATACAGAATAATTCTCGCTCATCCTCAGAATTTCAGGTGAAGAACACCCACAGAAACTGCCTCTTGCAGTACCTTCAGTACTGGAATTCTCTCATTCTCCTCAGTCGTCATGGAAGCCAAGAAAAACCAGCTAATACAACTCCAGTATTTTGGGTGAGCCTTTACAATAGTTAAAAACCTGTCCAAGGGGCTGGAGAGATAGCACAATAGGTAGGGCGTTTGCCTTGCACGCGGCCGACCCGGGTTCGATTCCCAGCATTCCATATCGTCCCCTGAGCACCGCCAGGAGTAGCTCCTGAGTGCAGAGCCAGGAGTAACCCCTATGCATTGCCAGTTGTGACCCAAAAAGCAAAAGCAAAAAAAAAAAAAACCTGTCCAAAAGACTGCAGGTCAGAGCAAATGTTTCGGGGTAAAGGTTGAACTGGTACTTGAGTTTGACCAACCACTAAATTACTTCATATCTCTGGGATGGTGAAACATTCTGATTTATAAGCATTTTGGGCACATTGACTTTCCACATCTGGACTTCCCTAGAGATTGCCTTCTCCAGTAGCACTGTAGCACTCTGTTCCCATTGTTCGTCGATTTGCTTGAGTGGGCACCAGTAATGTCTAATTGTGATACTTGTGACTGTATTTGGCATAACAAATACTTCGCGCTCTGCCGTGTGGGCGGGATACTCTCTCAGTAGCTTGCCTGGCTCTCTGAGAGGGACAGAGGACTAGAACCCGGGTCAGCCATGCGCAAGGCAAACGCCCTACCTGCTCTGGATTAATCTAATTCTAACTCTAAAAGGTTTTAGTGACAGATTTAATTATTATCAAAGAAAATACATGAAGAATTGCACAAAAACACAGATAATAAGGTAAGTAATTAAAAATGAAGGGTGAGTCCATTACAAAACATGGAAGGAAGCAGGCAGAGCAACTTTTGCAAATATAATAAAATTCAAAAGTCAGTCAAGAGTCGTTCTAATTACATGGCAACTATGAAACAGTCTCCTGTATGAGAAGCAATAATTAATCGCAGCCTATGAGTGTGGGAGCACACCTCACCCTGAGGGGGAAGTGTTTTTTAAAGACAGAAACCCACAAGCACTTAATACAGAAATCCAGCAGCTTGGAGCAGAAAAGCGAATGGACTATGCATTGCCTGCCCGGAGGGGAAAGGGTGTTGCTCCCTTCCGCCCTCTCCTCTCTGGAAAGAAAGATGGTGGCCGCATGGGAGCCTGGTGGAGAGCAGGTCTGAGCCGGGGGTGGGGGCGCGATGGATACCTCATGGAACGTGGGGGGCGGGGGCGCTCCGGCCTGTCCTTCACGCCCGACCGAGGTCACCAGTTGCCCCCCACGAGCGGCTCTCCGGCAAGGCCACGGCCCCAGAAGCACAGAGACCAATCTCTTAACTATCTGACTCTCAGTAGAAATACTTGCAGGGTTAATAAATAAAATAGCAGAAATCCAAAACATCATTTAATTCTTGAACCCAGCTGTAGAAAGCAGATCATTTCACAATGCTTTATCAGCATGGCTGAGTTTGGGGGGGGGGGTAAAGTCTAAATAATAGTAGTGCAACTTTTATCAAAACAATGAAGCTAGTCAAAGTAGACAGAGTGTTAACTAGAATTCATCTACCCCACAGACATTGGGGGGGGGTGGTTTGGGGGGTGGGGGTTTATTGGGGTTCTTCACGGTGAAAAATAAGTATTGGTAAAGGGAATTGTGATTGATATTTGCATGACTAAGACCTAAACTTGAAAGCTTTGTAATTTTTCCCACAGCGATTCAATAAATAAATAAATAAATTTTAAAAATAAATAAATAAAGACAGAAACCTTTTCAGCATGGTGCCAGCCTGCAGCCCTGAGCGCGGCAAGCACTAAAGGCTGCTGAGCTCTGTTTGACCCCTTCTGAGACTGGACAGCAGTTCTCTTGAAAGTAGCTGAGAGATCTCTGAAGTGTTGGTTGGTATAAGCCTGATTTCTCCATTCCTGGCTCCAGAAATTCAGGTGTATTTGGGTCTAGACTAGAACTTGGTATAAGTGTGCCCACTGTAGAAAACCGCATGTTTCAAGCGGCCTTCTCCAGTAGGAAAGAAAATCTCTGGTTTTCCAAAGACCCTCCACAACCACCACCACCTCTTCTTCCTTCTCTCCTCCTGCTCCTCCTTCTCCTCCTCCTCCCAGACAGAATCACAGGCGAAGCCAGGCCCTGGGGCAGGGAGGGGAGGTGGGAGGGAGACGGAGGTGGGGGCGGTGATTTACCGCCTAATTTTGCTCACCGTGTGATGGGAGGAGTGGGAGCTGGAGCTCGGAGGAGTGCGCTGGCTGTGACCCGCGTGGCAGGTCAGTGAACTAGTTCCCTGGGATGCCCCCGGACCTGAGGTCGTTGTCATCGCGGAGAGTGCCCGGGTTGGAAGGGGGTTCCCAATCGCCTTAGGGCTTAGGGTCCGGGAGAGGCGGGGGATGGGCAGCTGGGGAAGACTGGCTCTGGCCCTGCCCAGGAAAAACGGTGAGGGGGTAGAGAAGGGGAAAATTAAAAGCAAGGGGCCTGGAGCAATAGCACAGCGGGTAGGGTAGGGCGTTTGCCTTGCACTCAGTTCACCCGAGTTCAATTCCCAGCATCCCAAGTGGTCCCTTGAGCACCGCCAGGGGTAATTCCTGAGTGCAGAACCAGGAGTGACCCCTGTGCACCGCTCGGTGTGACCCCCAAAAAACAAAACAAAACAAAACAAACAGCAACAACATAAAAAGCCAGACTAGCGCTGCCAGTGAGAGCCGGGGAGTGGGGGGAGCATTTTTAATGTAATGATACTTTTTAATGAAAAGTATCTTTTGCCTATTTTAATAAAATCCTTTGTCTTGTTCTTATCGAATTGTATAAGGTGTTTTGTTTGTTTTTGTGCATTGCCCAGGATTAAACCCAAGTCTTAACGCATACAAGGCATGCACTTAATTGCTGAACCTTACCTTTTCTTTTTAATAAAAGGTTATTTTGCTGCAGAAAGTGTTTCAGTCTGGGGACCTGAGCGATAGTACAATAGGTAGGGTGCTTGCCTTGCACATGGCCAGCCCAGATTCAATCTCTGGCACTCCATATAATCCCCCAAACCCACCAGAAGTGATGCCTGAGTGCAGAACCAAGAGTAAGCCCTGAAAGAAAAAAAGTGTTTAGTTCTTCCCAGGAGCTCACCACAATAAACTTCTCCTATTTCCTTCACTTTGTCTCTGCCCCTCTGTCTGCACCAGCAGAGTTCTCTAATCTATCAAGTCCCCAAAGACATAAGTGAAGGCAATATTATATGAAGTGTATTACCTAGGCATTCTATATATTTTATGATTTCAGGTCTTACATTCAAGTATTTAGTTCAACTTGAATTAATTTTTATTTAAAGAATAAGATGTTTGGTTAGTAGAGGTCTCTTGTAATTCCATACAAATTTAAGTAATATTGGTTTTATTTCTCTAGTAATGACATAGGAATTTTGATAGGGATCGCATTAATTCTGTATAGGGCTTTAGATAAGATGATCCTTTAGCAACATTAGTTGTTCCGAAACTTAGCATGGAATGTCTTTCCATTTATCTTGGTAGTTTTATGTTTCAGGGGATTGGTTTTGGTTTTGGGAGTTTTGTGTGTATGTGTGTGTGCGAGAGAGAGAGAGAGAGAGAGAGAGACAGACAGACAGACAGACAGACACAGAGAGAGAGAGAGAGACAGAGAGAGAGAGAGAGATTTTTAATATATATTTTAGTCGCAGTGAAATTTCACATTTATTCATTGTTGGCTCTCAGGTATGCATGTTTCAGTGCCCATCCCTCCCTTCACCAGTGTCCACTTCCCTCCCCCAATGCCCTCCCTCCCATTTGTTTCTCACCCTGCTTTTACTAGAGGCACTTTTTTCTCTTTTTTGCTTTTTTTACTGAATCACCATGAGTTACAAAGTTGCAAAGATATTTATGATGCAATTTCTGTCATACCCTTTTCCAACATCAATCCCTTCACCAGTGCCCACTGTCCTCCACCAATGCTTCCAGCTTCGCTCCCACTTTGGAAGGCACGTATGCCCTCCCCCCCTTGTCTTAGTGTCCCCTTCCCTAATTTACCCCCCTCATCCCTACCTCAGTGCCAAACTTCCTACTGAAAACCAGTCTCCTGCTCTTAGTTTTTGCTGCCTTTGGGTATTTGATATTCACCTACAAGGTTTCTTTATATCCTACATATGAGAGAGATCATTCTAAGTCTGTTCCTCTCCCTCTGGCTGATTTTACTGCAAGTGATCCTCTCCAGATCCATCCACATTGTAACAAATCGAACAACTCTCTCTTTTCTTAAGGCTGTGTAATATTGCATTTTGTAGATGTACCATGGTTTCTTTATTCAGCCATCTGTTTAGAGGCATTTGGGTTTTTTTCCGTATCTTGGCTATTGTTGTATATAGTACTTCAGTGAACATAGAAGTTAGGAGTCAGATGTCTTCTCTGATTTGTACTTTGGGGCCTTTGGGGTATATTTCCAGGAGTGGAATTGGTGAGTTATATGGAAATTCAATTCCTAGTTTTTTGAGCAATGTCCATATTGTCTTCCAAAAAGACTGGACCAGTCAACAACCCACCAGCAATGAATGAGTCCCTTTTTATCCCCACATCCTAGCCAACACTGGTTGTTCTTTTTCATGAATGCTGGTCTCTGTGGTATGAGGTGATATCTCATTTTGATTTGTGCTTTCCTGATGATTAATGATATCTAGTAATTTTTAATGTGCTTTTTTGTTATTTCTTCTTTGAAGAAGTTACTTTTTTTTTTATAGAGTTGGGCATTTTTTTCTTGTAGAGTTCTACCAGTGCATTATATATCTTGGCTATTAGCCCTTTGTCACATAAGTATCCACTTCCCTTCACCAATGCTCTCCTCCCATTTGCTTCCCACATTGCTTTTACAAAAGGCACTTGTTGAGAAATATACATTTTACAATGTAATCTACAGTACTGTTGCTGATAGGGTTTTATACACAACACTTTACCATTTTTCAGCACCACCTCTCAGATGATCGATTTTTGCTTGGACCAAAGCTGCTTTGGTCTCAGGAAATTCTCTGCAGAGAAAAAGATTGCCCAAGGGTGTAACTCAGTGGCAGAATATATGTCAACAAAGGAGAAAAGGGGAATTTGTGCAACTCTATTGAAACTAGTCATATAACCTTCAGGGAACAGACGCACAATGCAATTTCAAATTATGTTTTAACATTGTGTTAAGTATACATTATTATTAAAACTTAGAGTACTTAGTCTAAGGAATTGTTTGGTGAAATAACTGGTTCAAAATATCTTAGTATCATCCTTTATAAACAAACCCCGTTCCTCAAAAGTTCACTTTCAGGAAGCATCAGTTATGAGTTTAAGATTGTTTACTCTCTACTACATTCCTTCTGCTGAGAGAAGATTCATAGACGCTGACTCTACTGAATGAGATATGCATTGAAAGCCACCTGGCTACCTAGGAGTAGAGACTTTCTCAGGGTGCATATGTCTGAGACTAAACAATGCAACCTGACATTCTGCTCAGAAGTCTTGAACATAGGCATGAGTGAAAAAAGATAATGGATTAACGGAAACCTTACAAGGTTGATGTTAAAAGCAAACTCTAAATTGTCAATATGTCCAATTACCCAATAGTTCTCAAGTAAGACTCCACAGGTTGGACATCAGATTTCAGATAAACGCAGGAAGAAGAAAAGACTACATTGTCCATGAGTGTTTAAGCTGGAGGAGTCTTAAAATGAACCAAACCACCAGAAGCTATGAAATGCAGTTTGAGGAGCCAGAGAAATAGTACAGAAGTCAGGGCACTTGCTTTGTACATCCCTGACTTGGGTTAGATTACTCACACCCTGACTTTACCAGGAATGATCTCTGAGCACAGAGCCAAGAGAAATCCCTGAGCACCACCAGGTATAGGTTCAAAACCAAAAGAGAGGAGAGAGGGGAGGGGAGGGGAGAGAGAGGAAAGGGAAAGGAGGACAGAGGAGAAGAGAGGGGAGGGGTGGAAGCTGATGTGAGAGGAGGGGATGGGTGGGCAGAGATGAGAGGAGAGGAGACAGGGGAGAGGAGAGGAAGGGAGAAAGAAATGCAGTTTAGGGGGCAGAGCAATGGGACAGCGGGTAAGATGTTTGCTTTGCATGCAGTCTACCTGGGTTTGATCCCTGGCATCCCATATGGTCCCCTAAGCACTGCCAAGAGTGATTCCTGAATGCAGAGCCAGGAGTAACCCCTGAGCATTGCTGGGTGTGACCAAAAAGCCAAAAAAAAATCAGAAATGCAGTTTAGAAAATTAGGGTCAGTTAGAGCTAGCCAGAATATATATAGAGAAACTTAACTGGGAAATATCTGACTTCAAAAGAACCTAAAGACTTTCCAGAATTTGCATTAGAGGGGGAAAGAACATCTATCACCTGAAAAAATAGAATAAAACAGAAGAATGAGCCCTAGAGGAACTTCTAAAGATTTTGGAGTTGAGAATATGGTTTGAATATCTTAGAGCAAATTCTCAAGAGTCAAGATACTTTTTTCCTTCTCTTACTCTGTTGCTACTCTTGTTGCAAGGGCTAGCAATACACACTTAGCTGTAGTGCTCCCCAGGGATTGTACACTCTTAATGGTGCTTGCATACACCTTACTGTGCCCCTAAAGAATACACACTCAGGGATCCCAGATGCTGTAGCTGGCCCAACACAGTGCAAATAGGAAGTTCCAGGTATCAAATTCATGGCCTCATGCTGCAAGACAGGAATTTTTAGTCACTGAGTCATCAGTCATTCCCCTTAAATAATTAACTTCTCAAATAATCACATTGGATGAGATGTAACATAGAAGACCATCTCAACTAACAAAACATTAACAGAAAAACTTGACTTGTAACATCTGAGTAACTCCTAAATACAGGGACTTAATGTCTCCATCATGAGATACAACAATTTACACAAATATTCTTCTAAGGAATACTTTTTGATCATTCTGTTAGCAATGTATTCTAACAAGCAATAAAATAATTTATGTGGGTCTCTTTCTCTGGTTAATCATAAATTGGACGGGGACAAAAAATTTTAACTTTCTTTTATTAATCAACTTTCTGTGATAAACAGTACTATAATAATAGTTTCCAATGCATATAATTTCAACGACATACCCATCATCAGTGTAACCATCTTCTTTCCTCAATGAATCCCAGCACTGCTCCATTTCAATTCTTTCTCCACCAACTCAATTGTATGGATCCGTTCTCCCAGTGTGTTGTATTTGGACTAAAGATACACAGAAAAGTAGCAACTTTGCTGTGTATCTTTAAGGTCCAAATAAGAGAGAAAAATCATTCTGTGTCTTTTCTTTTCCTTCTGACTGACATCAATCAGCATGATACCTTATAACATCCTATATTCATCCATGTTGCTGCAGATTTCATGCTTTTGTTCTTTCTTAGATTTTCATAGTATCCCATTGGTATACATACCACAA